GGGTTTAGGGTTTAGGGATGTCAGCATCAGCAGTTCCGGTTTGGGGTTTAGGGCACATCCCAATGTTGGTCGCACAGCTCGACGCAGTTTGCCAGGCCTGGGGCGTGAGAGTCCACCCCTGTGCTTTCCTGTACTATAGGGGCCTCCTTAATCATAAGAATAGCGTTTTGGCATATATTCTACTAGTCATACTAAGGAAACCCAAACTAGTATTGGTAGGTCTTTAGGCCCCTACAAAATGCTCGCGACCGGCGCAACAGGCTTCTCTGTTCATGGGCGGAGCTTTCCGGCTCAATGTGCCGTGGCGGTGGGGGTCTAGGAGTCTATATCAATACCAATCATGATCAACAATTCTAGTGGTGTATCTATCTTATAGTAAACCTTAAAACCTAAGCCCTAAACCCATTATCAGAGAGGGACTCTTTACCACCTTGGCCGGAGGATTCTCGCGAAATCGAACAATGTCACCACACGGCATGCAGGTTTTTCGGCGCATCCGGTTTTGTTCAGCTTTCTTCTAGGGTCTAAAAGCAGGCGACACTTTGGCTAAAAATCGTACACCCTGAACTACTAGCCTTGTGATTCTCATTGCTCCTTTGTCTCGGATGGGGCTCCGGCCGGGTCCTGCAATCGGGATCCCTGGCGCCTTTTTTGCCGCCGGGCGGCTCGAAGCCTCTGCTATCATGCCTCATCTTTCGAGACGGCGATGTCCGTCCTCATTACAACCTGCCCTGAGGAGCCGAGATGCGCCAGAATTGTTGGCGATTCTGGGAGCTGGGAGAAAGCGGGTGTGGGGTTTAGTGCCTTAGATCCCCAGATCCCCGGGGCCCTGAGCCCTCGAGCGGGAAGTTACTGGCCATCCCATATCGCTCGACACAAGATAGCATCAAAGGAACTACAGTGCTACCGGGGTTGGAAGGGCCCGAAAAACCCACACAGCAACACCCCCACCCCCGAGCGCAAGACACCAAGCTGCCTTCAAACCCCGTGATCCTGAGTCATACCACACCAAATCGTTGTGTAGTATATTATTAACTAGGTATAGCGTACTAGCGTATCGTACTGTATAGTCTAGCAAAGTATAGTGACACATAAGTCATGGGTCTCCTTCGCGCAACTTGCCAACGGCCCTTTGTGCAAGCGCATGGTGCTGAGCTCCAATTTGCTACCCTGTGCCCCAGCAAGACCCTGCAAGGGGCAGAGGGCAGGCCAGGGTTCCTCGAGGGGTTCGGCTAAGGGCGTTTAAGGGCTATGAGATGTGGGGCGTCGGGGTCCGGGTGGGATGTCTGAAGCTTTCGGGACAAGGGCTCCCCAATTGAGGGTTTGTTGGGGACCAAGTCTCACCTGCTCAGGAGGCTGGCAAAAACACTCACGGCACAAGGCTTCGGGAGCCTAGGCCGTGCCATGGGTTTTAGGGCTTTGGGAGGAAAGTGCCTTGCGACTAAACCCTGAAGCTTCAGCACGTTTCTGCTCAGCCTCCTTGCAAGTTCGTGCGACACGTGGAAGAAACCCTCCTTCAGCAAGCACGGCTTTCTCCATGCCTATAGCTCCTTAGATCCTGAGTCCCATACTTACCTCGTGCAGCACCCTTGTAAACCCTAAACACTAAGCCCTTAACCGTCAGGGTTCAGGGTTTAGGGCTTGGCGCTTGGGCTTGGCGTTTGGGGCTTGGAGATCGCAGACTTAGGGTTCAGGGTCCTCCTAGTCATATAGGAGCCTGAATATTTAGAATAGGGTTTTGGGGTGTGCTATGTTATAACTTATAATAGGGAACCCCCAAAATAGTTTTGGTAATTATTCAGGCCCCTATCTTAAATTCGCAACAGACTTCGTCTCCAGATGAACATCCGACATCTCCCCAAACAGTGTCTGTGGGTTCATGCACCGAGAACCCCTAGCTTGCTTCATCTCTGTGGACTACTGCTGCTGTTACGATTGAAATTACGCGGCTGTATGGCTGCTATTTCTCATTTTCGATCTCCGTCCCAGTCCTCTTACAGCTCTCCGCGCCTCTTCTAGGCAAGATCATGAGCAGAACGTGCGAGGGCTACTGGGCTACTGCAACGGTAGCATGGATTTCACGGAACTGATATTACATATAATACATGTGTATATATATATATATATATGTATATGTATGTATGTTTGCATATGTATATGTGTGTATATATATCTATCTATCTATCTATCTATCTATCTATCTATCTATATGGGATCCGGCGGAAAGGGTTTGCGCTAGAGGCAGTGTTGCCAGTCAGCTCACCCCAGCGCACTCTGCGACTGCAAGCAGCCATCGAGGATGCCTCAAATGGGCTTCTATTCCCAAGATATGATTGCAATTCAGGAAGATTGGTTCAGATTTGGGCTTTTTTCAAGGCGACCGGATGCAAAAATGCTGTTTCGCCATGTTTCGCCTCGGTTGAAGCGGTCAGAGGTTCTGAGAAACACTTCCTGTTTTCCCTCCTCTTAACCCCTCTTTCCTCCTGCCTGTGGAATCACTGACCGCCCCAGGCACGATTGTGAATTTTCATGTTGTCCAGTCCGTCTCCGCCAAACCAGCCTCGTTTCCTCGCCCTCATTCGCTTCCTTCCTTCTCCGTCCCATGTGTTGCCTCTGCGGCCGTGCCCGAACTGGACTACTCTCCACTTGCGGGCGGACGAGCCGAGGGCGATGTGAAGAATTTAAACCATGTATCAACAGAATGTGATTGATACTCTCTTAATACTCGAACTCTCAGCAGAAAAAGCTACCACAGCAAGATACCCTTAGAAAACATCTCGGAGGTTCATTGTTTGAAGGAATCCAAGGTTTAGGGGTTTGGGGTTCTGGTCCATAAGCCGCCATGAACTCCACCGGCGACACCTGGATGGTACTGGAGCTCCTTCTCCCAATCGTCAGCCTCGCAGGGCCCGAAGCATAAGCAGGAGGCTAGAGTGGATGGTGGTCGTGACGATGGCGGTGGGGATGACGGTGATGAAGGAGGTGATGATGGTGCTGATGGTGCTGATGATTATGATGATGACGATGGTGATGAAGATGTCGATGATAATGATGATGATGATGATGACGACGATGCTGACGATTACGATGGTGGTGATGATGATGATGATGGTGATGATGGCGCTGATGGTGCTGATGATGATGGCGCTGATGGTGCTGATGATGATGG